TTATTGCTAAAAGCTACTGTCAAGAACCGAAAGTTTGCATCAAATGTCTCCTTAAATTTGTAATCCAGTTAAATTATTCTTTGATCATATAGTTACTGACATTTTAAACTGCCAATTTTAGTGTTTAATATTCAACATTTGTTCAGTACAAAAATCATGACTACGGCCGTGACTAATTATTATTTTCATCATTTATCACTCTGTCAGTTATTTTATTGATGAATCTATTAATGTTTTTTCTGTCTTCAGACATGTTTACTTCTTAAAACTACACGCTCATCAGAACGCTGGCATTGACAACTAACTGAAAGTTCTTAAATGTCAGAAACATTTAGGATTCCAACTACAAACCTTTTTTGTTATTATGTTTCTAAATGAAACTCTTCATCTAGAAAATGTCAAAAAATAGTGTAAAATGCATGTTTCTCAGAAGATCTTTAAACTGCTTGTTTTATCCAACCAACTGTCCAAATATCCAGTTTGCTGTCATATATGAGGATAAGAAAAAGCCTCAAATCGTCTAATTTGAGAAGCTGATTAATTGAAACAGTTGTTGATTAACTTTCTGCTTATAAGCTAATGTGATTAACCAACTAACTGCTTCTGCTCTAAACAGATTCAAACAATACCAAGTTAATTAAACGACAGAAATATCACATTTGATGAGCATGTAGTTTCAAGATTACTATGAGTGTGTGAAAACAGAGAGAAGAAATGTTGTGAATGTTTTCTTTGATGAGGCAGAAACATACACTGTAGTGTCAAGAAAATGTGTGAATCACTCAGCCAAGCAAGGAAGTGCACGCACAGGCATGTACACACTCCAACTCCTACTTCAGCAAACTCTGTACGATGACAGACCTGCGGGGAATCCACAGACGGCACTATGAGGAAACAGATCCTGGCTGCTGAGAGGCTTGGAAGGCGGAGTTTGCAACTGAGCTGCCAATCGAGTCAGGCTACATTCAGTGTCAGAGGAGATGCACGCCGCTTCCAGAGCAGCCTGTTGGTTGAAAAACTTTTACAGCATTGGTTACAGCTGCGCGTACCACCTTCCCACATGTTCCCAACAGTTTGTCCATTGTTCCACAAGTTAAACTTATCCTCTGCTCAATCTCAAACCATACAATATATTTGTTTTTCTCCTAACTGATGCAAGGATTAGGCAAGACACTGTTCCCATTTCGACCACCAAGTCCCCTCCTACTGGTACTAATCAATTTACATGCATCACACGTCACATTAAATCCTGCCAGCAATCCGGGCTATTCTACTCAGACTCAACTCCGAATGCAGCCCATGCCACCAAAGCTGGTAGGGAGCTAGCGAGTTTAAAAGCGGGAGTCTTTCATGTCAAAGGTCACACACATCTCAATAAGCATTGCCCTAAAAGGAACTGGCCTGTCCTGCCCATTCAAATGAAGGGAGGAAATGAGAAATCTGTGTGAATGCACAGAAGTGTTTGTTCCAACGAATTGCACCAGACAGCCTTATGAAGTGACCTGACAGCATTAGACAAAGCAGCTGTTCGTGGACGTCACCATCTTCATTTATAATTTTTTTAAAAACCAAACACATGGGGCTGCATTTTACTGCTTTTGCCAGTCATACCAGTGTATGTGGGTCACGAGCACACGTTCATGTATCAAATATAACCAGTGGGTGCCTTTCATGAGAAAGACACTGGCACAGATGTTGTCGCACATGTTCATAATCTGTATGTCTGTCACTTCATCTCCTCTGAATTCTGAGGCACTTCCTCTCGGTGAGTGTCTACCATAAAGCTGTTCACGTCTTCATAATAAAACTTTGTGCATGTTATACTGAACCAAACCCCTGTCATCAGCGTGAAGGGAGAAAATGCGTGAGATCCTCAGCTTCCAGTGTGTGGTGCGACCCACTCAGGGTCGATGGACGTTGAGAGGAGGCTTTGATGGCGGTGAATGGAGTACTAATGAGTTGGCCTTATCAATGGCTGGTCTGTGTTCTGCCCTCCTAATGGCCAGGGGAAATCAACAGAGCTGTTGATGCTCCATGTAAACATCTCAGCCACTTCCCTGTGTGGGGCCTCCACTTCAACCATGAAACTGGGTTCATAATGTAATTGGTTCGTGTTGGAGTACACTTGCCATGTTGCAAGCCATTGCCCATTTCATAATCGACAAATGTTAAGGAAGTGGCTGGTGTGCATGTTTATAAAGTGCTATTCTGAAAAATCTATTCGCTTTCCAAAATATGTCATTATGTGGCAAACACAGTAGGTGGGGCCTGTGGGGAATAACCAGGGCAGAAGGCCCAGACAGCACTGTGCTGACTGAGTAAACCTTGAGCTCAAGCTATCACCTGTTGAATACTATATTCATGAAGCAATCCCATATTTATGTGCGTGGTCATAAGAGTCACAGATAAGGCACAGATATGTATAAATTCGCTCTTGTGTCACCTGAGTGTTGCATAAACGGATGAAGAAACTGTGAAAAGCTGTCAGAAATGACAGTAAAAATGTACAACAGCTCGAGCCCAACGGTTGCTTCAGGGAAAAGCGCGTTAATGTGACAGTTCATCGACACATGGCAGTCTTACCTGGCCGGGGTAATGGACAGTCAGGTCTTGCCGTGTCTCCTTACACTGAAGCTGAACTGTATCCGTCAACAGACTGGGAGGAGACCTTTCCCTCTGCTGTGTCGCTCACGGTGAAATGTCACAACTACACTAATGTGTTGACACACCAAAGACTGTGGAAAACCAGCTCAACGTGGACCTCACTGGCGACTTCAAAGCTGCTGATTCGTACCGCTTTCACTTTCCGCTGACGGTTGGTGTTAATATACAATTGTCGTTTACTTTTTCTGCCTTCCCAGTACGACTGGTCCCCCCCTCTCCTTCCCTTTTCCTCCGCCACTTGGAGGTTTCGCGACGAGAACAGTCGAGTTTAGTCGGGAGGAGAAAGGCGGACCAACCCGAAACCCGGGCGGATGTTCACCAGCGTCAAGGTACCTGCTGCCAATATACTACTTCCTGAGGAGATTTTCAAAATAAAACGACGCTGAGCAAGTAATAATTTTAAATTATATATATATATATATATATATATATATATATATATATATATATATATATATATATATATATATATATATATATATATATATATACACACACACACACACTTATTGACAGGAAATACAAATGTGAAGAAGCTCCCTGCTAGTGTTTCCAATTTAGAAAAACCTATAACACGTTACTGCTCCGAAGATGAAGATGTCGCCGAGTGCTTGCTTACGGTGGGAATTTTAAGGTCTCTAAATAATAATCACACAAGAGTACTGTCTGGACTTGCTTTATATGAAAAGTGCAATGAGATAACTTCTGTTGTGAATTGGTGCTATACAATAAAATTTAATTGAAAGATCAATTAAGGGTTAGGCGCTTCTCTATGATCCGAGAAAACTAGCTTAAGTTCTTGATGATGATTTTGTATGCGTTGTATTGTCAAACTGAAACAAGGCAGAAAAACAAACTGAAAAACAAGTTCCTGAAAAGTTGGCATTCCTGACATTTTTTACCTCACAACAGCAATACTATATGTATAATACTGTATGAAGTGATTTTATTTCTAAAAAAGGTAAAAGCTTAATGGGGAGGTTAACTGGACACATTGGACAACATTTTTCCATATTCCAGTGGATTTAACATTTTCCTCTGAAATGTAGTAGAGTGAACGCCAAATCTCTTGAAGAAAATACTATATAACAGCACATGAAAATGCAGACATGTCAACTTTATCTCACAACTATCACAAATTCAAAATGTAGGTAGAAACAACTTCCTGTCTCACAATAGCGCTCTCTCGCTAACTTGACTGTACAGAAAAGAGAAAGCAGGTTTGTTGTTCTGCTCTGAACCTTGCAGAGGCGCACTCTCCCCACAGGAACACATGTTCATACTCAACTTTTGGCTCAAGTACTGTATTCTTGTTTATTTCAAAAAAGCCTCTCAGCCAATGTGCTTCGACTGTGTACTATACCAAAAACACTCAAGGTCCCAGTTTTGTGATTAGTTTATCCAGTATAGTATGAAGAACTTATACAGGGTATGAGGTAAGACACACAGAAGACCAAGATATTAAAGTAACATTCCCTTGATTTGTCTTTAAATTAATGGAAAATAAGACTAAAAGTAAGGAATCATGAATCATTAAGAGCAAGTACTATGACAATACACAAGTTCAGGAAAGATTTTTTTAATTTAAATTAGCATAAAAAGAAAACAAAAGAAAAACAAAACTAAGAACCAGGCTACAGGCAACTTCAAAAACATTGATAGAGCTTGATGCATATATTGTGCAGTTAAAAATAAGCACTTTATAAAAAATAGATATCTACAATGTAACATAATGAACGTACAGTATGCATTTCCGAAAGTGGCTGTGTTGTCTGTACATTTTCCCCAAAGATATTTTTTTTAAAAACCAAAAAAAAAAACCTGTTCCTTGAAAGACTAAGATTGACAGCAATACTCAACATGATCTAAGTTCCATAGAAGAATATGTATTTGTGACACTATATAACAGGCGATTAAGTGGAAAAACATAACCAAGTGGCTAAAATGTATCCACAAAATCTTGTCCGTCTTTGTCAAAAGCTCAGATCTTCACAAACAATTTAGTTTCACCACACTGTACTTTTCAAAACAGGAGTGTGACGGCTGCCAAATGCAATTTCTGAACACCAAGAAATGGTTTTCTTTACACTTCAATATCTTTTTGGTGTCAGAAGCATTGTGCAACATTTACAAACACAACATAGTTTACACAGAATGAAATGTGAGGGGAAAAAAAAAAAAAAAAAAAAAAAAAAAAAAAAACTCCACCATGAAATGAAAAGGACTGATAAGAGTGTAGATAATATTCAGCCTTTAGAGATACATTTGGAAACAGGGTGACATGTAACAAAATCACACAGCTGAGGGTTTGGTGCTGGAAGAGGACAGTCACTGTGGATTGTTGATGCCGTTTTAGGGCCAGGGGATGTAAAGAGAAAAGCCTGTTTGATTACATATATGAGAGAGGTGATCAATGGAGCAGTAGGTAGAGGGAGGGGAGTCTTAAAGTCTTACAGTGAAATCTACTCCTGGGCCTCTTTGCCAGTCATCTTGTAGATCTCAGTGGGGCCATCAACATGGGTGATAGTAGTAGTAAGCTGTAGGTCTTCTCCACTGTTTGTGCCGGCATCTCCTACACACATAAACACGACACATCTTCAACACTGAAATGATTAATTACAGAACGTCAGTACCAGCAGCGTCGTAAGCCCTGGGCCCCAGATGTTTTTTGAAAAGCCCCGGATCTCAAAAGGATTTTTATAAACAAAGAGGCAGCAAATTGAACTTTACTCCGCTTAACTAATGTTACATGCACGGGAGGGAGAGAGCGCGAGAGACCGAGGCTTTAGGGCTCATCAGCGACTATGGGATTGTCCCCAGCAATAATTTTGATCAAACCATAATATATCACACCACTGTTGTCCGTCAGTGTCTAGTCAGTTTATTTGCTACACAGACGGTTAACATTTCACTGCAAATTAGCGGGAGAATAAGATGATACAGCTGTAGCTCTGTCTGTCCTCTCTGAGCCACCTGAAGTGGCTGCAAGCTGCACTTTATCAGAGGCGCTGAAATTAACGTGTGTGGATTTGTGGTGAGGTTGATCACCTGATCACAAGTGTTTTCAGTTAGATTCCCGTTCCACCACCTTGTCTCAGCTAGTAGGCGAGAGTCCCAAATGGGGTTCTGCTTCTGTCAGAAGGGGAAACTTGCATTAGTCCAGACTAACTGAACCTTGATTGAAAGACAGATAACCTGGTCACTGTCTTGTTTTAAAAATGATGTTCGCCCATACATGTGTTGACTGGACCTCACAGGAGGTTGCTGCTGGAATGCAAGAGTTTTGCGAGACGCGGTTATCCTTTTTAAGCTGCAGCTTCATAAACCCTGTTGGCATTTATGAGTACGCTAATAAATAGCGATTTATGAAAAAACAAAGGGTTGGGATGTTTTGAGATGTTTTTATAAGTGAAAATAAATCACAAATTTTAGTGGACTTGAACTTCTTCACTGCATTTGTATTTTAATGGGCTACTTAAAAAATAAACTCATCAAGTTGTCTAGTCTAATGCAATAGACTAGACAAGACTTATTTTTACTCTAATAGCCTATCTTGACCTTTCCTCATGTTGACATATAGGGGCTGTGATCCTGCACGCGCAAAAAAAAAGAAGGAAAACAAAAACCCCACGAACATGCAAGAATTAAATCCCCCTTACACTACCATGGATAGTAGTGGTGCAACGAATCGCAGAATCCGTGGTATAGATCCCCTCCATACGGTGCGGCACGCAGGTGGACCGTGGATTGATTGCAAAGTTTAACCTGTTTCTCACCACAGTATGAGAAACAGTTTTACTGCTGCTATTAGGCCTACTTCTTTAATAAATACGCAACATTACATCGCAATGCAGAGCTGCAGTGAAAAGACAGACGCATCCTGTGTTAAACTCTGAAGTTAGAGTGAGTGGATTGGGAGACAGTGACTGATTTAAAAGCAGTCACTTCCGCCTCCATTGAGTGAACCCCCAGCTGTGACTTCAGACATGTTCAGTGGTGTAACTGGACAGACACTGGGCTGCTTATCATACCTGCCAAGTAGCGCTTTTGATTTTAGTTCGTTTGATAATTACTTTGCCAAGCAATGGTGCAAAACAATGTTGGAGACCTTTTGTCATGAGAAGTGCAACCCCCTCCCTTTCCTCTACATGCTTGCACATGTTTGATGACAAAAAAAAAAAAAAAAAAAAAAAAAAAAAAAAAAAGAGTCGGGAGATTCAAATACTCAATGACGTTATGCTGCTTTACCTCGGACGTAAATGCGCACAGCGTCTTTCTAAATGGGGAGACGATTCATCGCATTTCAAATAAGGCTACTTAAGTAAAAGTAAAATTACACATTGTAAAAACTACATGAGCAAAAGTAGGCTACAAGAACACAAAAAAAACTACTCTTACAGTAACGTGAGTAATTTTAATTTACTTTCCACCTCTGTTTGTAAGTTTTGATTATTATGATTATTATTTCGTAACGTGTAACCAACCAGGGACACTGAGCAAGACTACAGAGTGGTGATTACAGACGAGAGAGGCAGCTACATCAGAGCCAATAAAGTAGCACATTTAAAAAATAAAAATACCCTAAACCATGGATTGAACAGAACCGTGAGTTTTGTGATTCTTTGCACATCTAGTGAAGTAGCATTGATCACTTTGACGGAGGATTATTTTTCTTTTAATTTTACAATTGTCTTTTCTCCAAATATTCCTTTATTCTGGAAATGTCAGAGAACCCAGTTAGATTCTGAATGTGCAGAACTTTGAACGTGAGCAGAAAACCTGCTGAAACACAGGAGCTATTAAAGTCCAGGAGTTTATAAATGAATAAAAATTATATTATTGATGACGTAAAAAAAAAAAAAAAAAGGTGCCATATGCACATTTAAAGAGGTTACCTCAATCAGTCACGCCTGTGTGTGTGTTGAATCAGCAGTGATAATATTAAAAGTTGATCTACAGGAGAAACATATCTGAAAGCAACCCAGAAGGCTTTAGAGCTGCATATTCTGTTACAGTTTTAGATTTTGGTTTTATTTTACCTTTATTCCAGAAAAACAGTTTTTTTCCAAGAGTGTCCTGGCCAAGGCAGGCAGTAGCACAATTGCATAGTCGAAACAGAAGTGAAACTCAAGAGTTGATAAAGTAAATCAACAGAGACTGAAACTTGGAGAGAGGCGCCCCTCCCAGGAGATTGGATGACGCATTTCAGGGAAAGCTTTCAGAACTTCAAACCCTCTTTTTCTCTCCCTGCGTCACGGACGTCAGGAGATGGATGGTTTTCATTACTTTCCTGATCTCCTCCCCACCCCCATCCTCTCTTCACTGTTCCCTTCCTTTCCGTCTGGAAGGAAGCCTGGTGTCCATTAGAGTCACCCTCTCGGGCCAAAGAGACCCTTCTTTCCCCTGGGAATCTGGGTACTTGTGAATCACTGATCCCCCCCCCCCCAAAAAAACAAACTTCGAATGAATAGGCAGCTTTACAGCAGAGCAAAGACACTTACTCCCCTATCAGAATGAAGTGAGAGCTACTGACACTAATGAAATTTAACCAATAACTTTCAGACAATGACAAGGTTTGTTTATGCAACACCAACGGTAATACTTATTCAATTATTTCTTTAATTATAGCACCATATTTTCCCAGATCTCAAACCAAAACTTAAAGTACACAAGAAACAAAAGGGTTTTTATCTGGACTGAATTTAACTGAGACCTATCTAACCAATCAATATTAAAGCATTAAGACAATTTCATGCAAATGTGAAACTATTTTTTTTTAAACTACATCTATCACTATACTTATCTATATTTAATTCTTTGTCTCGCTTATATCCGAGATTTAACTGCTACAATGGCTGAAAATGTTTCATCCTAAAAGACTACTACAAAGCATTTACAACCAACACACGCCATCTTTTCTTTAGAAAGCTAGAAGAAATATGTAGTTACCAGTTATGCACTGACCACTCGACTGCGCGTCTCCGTAGCGTTTGTGAGACGGTGCGTAGAGGAACATGATGGCGAAGACATACAGGTTCCACATGCCGTAGATGCCCGTGAAGAAGGCACTGTTCACCTGCACTGTGTGCTCTCCCCAGTGCCAGTGGCCCTCATTCACCTGGACACGGAGGGAAAAAAAAAAAAACCACAATAAATACACCACACATATTGTTTTAAAGGCAGAGGGTTGTATGGCAGGGTGCTTCTATGTTTTGGGACAGGAAATGGACATTCTGATTTCCTAACATTATGGCACTCACCTGACTTATGATAAAGAAGATGACAGTCATGGCAGCACAGGTCAGAGTGACCAGCATGAGGAACTTGAACCTGAAAATCAGACCCTGAAGAGTGATAAAGGGGATGAGTTTGTAACAAAACACCAAAGAAAATCCCTTGCATGTGTAAACCTATGTGGCAATAAAGATTCAGAATTTCTTAAAAACATACTCCATGTAGCAGAGAAATCCTTTTCTAGAAATCATGAACAAACTGGTCTTTGTTTTTTTTTTTGTTTTTTAAATTCATGATGCTGAACAATTAGAAATGCACACACACCCCCCCCACCTCATAGTGCAGGCGCCTGGCCTTGGACATGGCAGGCAGGGACGTCCTCTTACCACTGATGTTGCGGAAGACTTGAAAAACCATGAAGCAGAGGAAGAGGAAGTAGAGACAGGCACAGATCCCTGCCACAATTATGAATGCCATCTGAGGCAACAGTCAAGGTAATAACCAAATTTTAAAAAGAGCCTGTCAGGAGAATGGTGGTGCATACTATAATATAAATAGAAGATGTAATTACTTAAAAATTGTCTGTCCACAAATGCTTTTATCTACACTTTAATCAGCAACTTCAAATCTGTAAATCATAAAAAATGCTTTTAAATACTTTGTAAGTTATGGTTTTCATTAATGAAACCTTAAAAAGACTTTACTTAAGTTGAAGGTACAGCAGAAACATATCAGCGGTGGGCCTTATAAAGATTTGATGACCCTGGTTATAGACTCTGTACCGAATGTCTTCAAACCACTGAGCGTCAGGAACACTAATCTGGCTTTTCCTTTTGATGGAACTCAAGTGGGGAGGAGTGTTGTTTTTTTGAGGAGGTGTTCTGATGAATCTTGCATTGCTCAGCTTGGCAAGCCAGGTAAACACACACAAACACATCATCCTGAGACCCTGGGCAATGCTTTCACATATGGCGTTACCAAATTGTTTTTCATCTTGTTAGTAGTCATGATAATGTGAGCCTGAAGATGAGACAAAAAATAAACAAACAACCGGTAAAGACATGAATTTGTTCCAACAACAACAGAGAGCAGAGCAACAACCATAAACATGTTTCCTGGCTGCTGAACCGGAAAAACATGATTTGACCATTTACATAGAGGGTTTTCGTTAACATCCTACCTGTCAGACAAGCGGTTTGCCGCGGTAACGGAGTGCTCCTTTTCTGATACTGTTGACAAATTAATAAAAAAAAAAAAAAAGATACAGCAAGCTCAGTTCCTACATCAGACGCCCAGATGCTGTAAAACGGGTTGGTCAGCTGGACCCCTCTGGTGACACAAAAAGAGAAACATTTTTGCATGTGTCACAGCATTTCATTACAAAAAGCCAACATAACCAGCATGTGGAGACATAATGTCACAAGATTCCTTATTATAATGTATTGGTTGGGATTTTTAAACCAATTTTTGTAAAACAAGTCCGTTGGGCTCACCTCTCACACATGTCAAAGATAAAGAGACAGAAGGAACCAAACACGATTGGTCCGACCTGCTTCCAGTAGACTGAGAAACGGTTCCTTTCCGTCTGGTCCTGAGAGAAAAGGACAAAACAAACTTAAAGATGAGATATAATGGAATACATGTCATTGATCATATATGGTACAAGTCCATTAGCAGTAAAATCCTTCTTGATCAAGGTCACACTGTAGATAAATTACTGCCCTGTAGCCAAAATAAGAACTTTGAAGAGTTTATGTTTTAAAAAGGTACCGAATGTGAATGAGTACATCAGGCGAAGAGTTGATGACACAGATGCATCTATGAAAACCGCATTGTAAGTTGTAAAAACCCTTAAAAAGCAACTGATTAAATATTCAATATATATTAAATTGTGACCATAATCAAGGTGTAACATGAGATATTAGCTCTACTACACAAAGTATTTCCAAGGTTCAACTGCTGGTTAGTCAATTTCCTGACACTACATCATTAAGACAAAAAAGGAAATTCCATACAAACCTAAAGGTTACTAAAAATGTACAAATATCATTTGGATTACAGAAAAATGATTTAAAAATGCTGTGGGAATAAATAAAACAATGCTCTCTCTCACACTCACACACGCAGTGACTCACACACTGATGACCAAAAAAAACAAAAAAAAAAAAAACAAAACCAAACAATGGTCTTCAGGCCAGCCCAACTTCAAAGTGGTAGTCTACATACCAATGGGTGACGTCATGGTGGCTACATCCACTAGTAACTAAGACTTTTTAACACAAATACTGGAGCTCTGGAGCAAAATATGAAGCAGGTAGTCTGTAAAATCAGGTGCTGCAAACAAGCATACACAGGATTTTATGTAAGAGTGTGTGCCAGGTGGAACCTTGAGAACAAGCAACCAGGTTTAGGAATAGATAATGTCAGGAACGCGTTACCAGTTGAGGCAGTTGGCCTGACAGAGATGAAGCATCGCTGCATAGACCTTAATGCATAGACTGAAGCTAAGAAGCAAACAAAATCCTTCTTGCACAAGGCAGTAGAGCTCAGCCTGCCCACCCACATGAGAGAAACAGCCTGCTGTGCAGAATATGCTGCTGCCCAGAGAGCTGAGGAGGGTAAAGAGACTGTCGTACTGTCTGAGGCAGACATGGAGTTTGTCAAAGTGGCCACCAAGTTAATGGACTCTCCATTCAGCGGGAAAAATGTCTTGTCCATCTCCTTGATTTCCCCTATACAGGCCAAATAACAGACGTCAGATAGGAATGACCTGCAAGTCATTTGTGGGATGAAGGTCAAGCTCAGGGAATTTTGAGGCTTAGTCACAGCTCACACATTTTTACTTGTCCTCTGCCCAGAACCCATGCTGAAAAGAACTGCGTTTCTTGGACAAAAATGATAGTGAGATAAAAGGGGGCTCTTTTTAATCAGTGTTTGGCTCGTTCTTTAATTAATCAGTTTCAAAACAGAATCAGAACAAAAATAAAAAACAAAAAAGTAGGGTTTTTTTCTGTTTTAAAACCAAGACTGAAAAACTGATAAATAGGTGGACCGTGGTCCAGATCCGGACCCAGCCGCCGCCCTCTCCGGACCCTGACCTACATGGTTTTTAACCAAGCGGGAAGCTTCCGGTCAGCAAACTGATGCAAACGCGAAGTCCCTTAAACCTGCATTCTACTGAATGGCCAGCCGGGGGCGACTCTTCTGGTTGCAAAAAGAAGTCCATTAGAAATAATGGTAAAATTACCCTACTTCTCAGCTGAATAATTACCTCAGTAAACACTTTCCTAATGAGTTTAAGGTCTCAATCTCTAGTTTCATGTCTTCTTCAATACAATATGATGTTCATTTTGTAAGTTATGGTCCCATTTAGAGGAAAATAAACCATAAAGCGACAGGAGTCATTACTATGGCGACCTGTCAATCAGGCTAGAGTGACTCTTAACCAGCGCCGTTGAAAAAGCTTATTAGGAGTTGGCTGCTCATTTTCTCTGTTATGTACATTTAGTTTTAAAGGAAGTGGTATTATGCTCATTTTTAGGTTCAAAATCTTAATTAGGGGTTGTACCAGAACAGGTTTACATGGTTTAATTAAAAAAAAAAAAAAAAAACTCCATATTTTTCCTCATACTACACGCTGCAGCTCCTCTTTTCACCCTGTGTGTTGAACACTCCGCTCTTGAGCTACAGAGTGATGCATCTTACTTGTACAAAATCTTTGTGGGGAGTTGCACATGCACAGTTCCCAGGTAAGGACTACTAGCCAATCAGAAGCAGAGAAGGGCGGGTCGTAAGAAACAAGGTAATGTGATCCAAATCAAAGGCTGCATCCGAAAAGTCAAAAATAAAAATAAAAAAAATCTCCTTTCCTAACCGCCTTTCTTTGACCTCGATGGAAAACGTCATGAGGTCAAGGAAATACGTGAAGGAGAATCCGTATTCGGTAAAGAGGACGACGGGTCTAAGAGAATCCGACTGCTCTTTTCTAAGCAACGGAATTATGAGACAGCGGATTTTACTGACGTGACCTGCCGTGATTAAACTACAATGTTATGAAGATGGACTACAAAAAGCGCATCTTTGACACGGCCTTTGCGGCCCATGTTGTTGTAATGCAGGCCATCTAATAGGAGGACAACACGGTGGATTACTTAATAACCAAGATAGCAAAAAGGCAGCCTACCGGTCACTAAATAATAGACAGGGTTGTCACATTGAGAATGCTAGCTCATCCTGCCCACCCATAAGCGTATTTATCAACATGAATCCCAATTGTATGTAAATACAGTGGTTCCCACAGAATGACAGGATAACTGTGCCGAGAGAGAGGGAGCGATGGGGCGAGAGGAGATGCTGAGAGAATATATAAAAATCACCGTTGATAATGTGGCAGGCCGCCACAAATAAATCAGTGTGTGGTAAACGCCTACTTGATCTTTGCCTTTATAAAGGCGAGGGTTTCGGCATCTGTGACTTAAGTATTGATTTGCTGAAGGCTGCAGTACATAACGTGAGGCTACATGCTGCAACATTATTCTCACATTGTCAACAATAACTGAGACCCATGTGAGCTGTCTTGTAACGTGATCAGTTTAAGATATATGAATATTAGCAAGTTATGGCATAAGAGAGAAAAGGCTTAATAGCCAATGGTAACTTACATGGTGATCAACCTCCTTTATCCATCATGGTTGGTTAATTGTTTTGTTTATTGTAGAAAACACTTAATGGCTTATTTCAACAACCCGAAACATAAAACAGTGTTGAAACAGTATTCGATTACAAAAAAGCCAAAAGAAAACAAACCAAAAGAAAGAAGGTAATTGTGAGTCTTCTTAAAGTATCATAATGTGCTTCTGTATTACAAGGATCTTGCTAAATGTGATTAATGGATTTTATCGTAGTAGTTTATAGAGTACGTGCGCCGCTTTAAATTTAATTTTGTGTTTAATTGGAATTGTGGGACGGCATTCTCTCCTTTCCTTTCGTAAAGGATGGTCAGGTGTACCCTATGCTAAAGGAGATATGAAAGGAAGCATTGAGGTATCTTTCTTTGGCTTTCAGAGAATAGAGCTGTTTGAATTCTCTGAAAGCTAAAGAACAGCTCTTATGGCTGCCCCTGAAATACTTCCGGTTCACTTCACTCAGTTAGGAACCTTCCTGAGCAAAAAAAGACTTTTCAAACGCAGCCAAAGTAGTGGGATCCAAATCAAAGCCGCTTCAGACTGCGACCGCAACTTAGCAGATTGTGCAAGTTACTAGTTGCATATAGAAATAAGACCATGTTTTTTAAGGACTGGTTTGACCAAGGTATTGTGTTTATCTTTATCAGGAAAGCAGTTTTCCCAAATTATAACAGAACGGTCTGGTCAGAATTTAATCGTATTTTTGTCCCCAACAAAGTGAAGGAAATTCTGGTAAAAATTCTACACAGATAATATCCTTGCAATGAATTTATTCACAAGTTTAGATCTGATGTCTCGCCTTTATGCTCTTTGTGTGAGTCAGAGACGGAGTCGTTCTCATTTATTTCATGAGTGTACTTTTTCATATGACTTTTGGTCCGAGATCTCTTATAATATCTCGGTCCCTTTATCTGAAAGTATGGTCTTATTTTTAATGTGGAATCTATAAACTGTGAAATTGCTGATCTGGTTAAGCTATTATGTCTTCTGGGTAAACATATTCATAAAGCAAAATGTATGCAATTTCTTCAAAACAGACATTGTTTTATATTGACCTTAAAAACCTATATTTTTCTATTGGCAGAATGTTAAAAAAACAAACAAAAAAAACAAAAACAAGAAAGTTTTAAAGACATCCAATATCTTAAAACATTATAGATAGCAACTAAAATTCTATCCATTTATTTTTATATTGGTTTACTTATGCGTCTTGTTTGTTTTTCCATTTGTTTATTATAACCTATGCTCCCTGTTTTGTTGGGTCTCAAGTACTATTGGATTAATAAAGTTGTGAAGAAAAAAAAAAAAGCCGTGCTTTCTGTGAGAGATGAGAACTCCCTTCGGGCTGGACTTTGGGCTTTTTCCACTTTACAAACCTGTTTCATGCACCAAAAAGAAAAGAAAAAAAAAATAAATAAATAAAGAGTTATAACTCAATAAAGGAGGAGAGGGTAAAAGCAAAAAAAGCATAATACCACCTCTTTAAGACTAGCTCCACCGTCTCATCCAAATATGGTCACGTCCCTTGCCGCCGGTTGAAAAACAAAACCCCACACGCCGGCTATCAGCCAAACTCGAGGCTTCAAAACAGCAGTCCACAAACCAATGGGTGACATTACGATGACGACGTCCACCTCTTATATACAGTCTATGATTCTTACATGTGCATTCTTCCCATGGGCAGTTCAAAACCAGAATATTTCATAGATCTGGCAAGAGAAAAACCCTTTTTAAAACTTGAATTATTTGATTTGACAGTCAGTTGTTTACTAAAGACATATGTTGATTCAACTGGAGATAGATCTCTCCCTCCCTCTCACATACATACATACACTCACTCTAACTGGACCACTTTGAATTTTTATTGAATACCTCAGCTGTGTGCCATTCCACACAACTTGTGGATAAGTTTCAAGTCTTTAAGACAAAAGAAAAAAAATATCCAGAAACCAGTCTGCTAGGACAAGCTGCTAGTGCTCTACAATTTTATATTAACCTAGATTAAGGAGGACCAGACTCACAAGCGCTGAAAAATTTTTTTTTTTTATTTCAACACCATTAACTTAATAGTCCCAGAATGGCTAAGATGGGATTTAAATACCTTAAGCACTTAAAGGCTATAATTGAGATTGCAGTAAGCAAGCAAGCCTGCACGTCTCTAAGAAAAAAACAATACATCAAACATTAAAGTTAATGATGCCGGGCACAGTACCATGAGGTGCTCCCCACAGAAGATGATCCAGAAGGAGAGTAGCATGGAGTAGAAGATGCCCTGCCGGATGTCTCCAAAAAGTAGCATCCAGGTCCAGTTGAAGCCAATGGAGAACCACTCCACTGGGATATTGATGAATGTCATAGAGATACCCAGAGCAAGGATTACCCTGAGGGAGCAAAGAAAACATCTTAAAAACCCAAAATTTTCACCATCTTTACAAACATGGCGGATATGGCGAAAATGTTCCCATGATATATAATGTCATATTATTCAATAATTGATTATCACTATAAATGTTAAATCATTATTTCTTTCAAGTTTAAAGGCTGATTTTGGCTCCTGAGTGAAAGTTGAAGAAACCAGATGGTTAATGTGGTATTAAACTATTCTTTAATGGTCAGAGCATCACAAACGCTTGATGCCAAACAGTGGATCACTTAAATCTGAGGTAGAACATTAAAGACGACGATAAAATCTTTTTTCAACAAATATGCATGAGTGAAATTAAGTTAAATCTTTCTTCAGTCCCTTTTCCTCAACAAAATACATTTTAAAGAGGTGGTATTATGCTCATTTTCAGGTTCAAAATCTTATTTAGGGGTTGCACCACAACAGTTTTACATGGTTTAATTTTCAAATAACATTTTTTTGGTCATACTGCACATAGCAGCAGCTCCTCTTTTCACCCTGTGTTGAAGGCTTAATTTTTGCTATTGAGTGATACATCTTGCCTCTAAATGATCTTTGTTGGGAGTTGCACATGCACAGTTCCTAGTTAAGGACTACTAGCAAATCAGAAACAGAAGGGCGGGCCAATGACAAACCAGCTTCGTTTCAGCTGTACATGCTGCCGACCAGCTGAGAAGGGTCTAGCTGCAGCCTGCAGACAAACGTGACGGAAGTTGAACTTCTGTGTATGGATCGTCCCACATGCCACCGTGCACAAAACGTGTTAACGTTTATCTCGGCCCTTGGGCCCACACAGAGCAGTTAAAAAAAGAGCCGATAAATAAGTATCAACGTACCAATCAGTGTACATTACGCATTAGTATTTACTTTATACTATAATTATATTATTATAGTATATTAATACTGTAAATTTATTTATAATAGCGTAATGATAATAAAGCAATGTTTCAATTCATACTGTTGTATATTTGTTCCAAAGTGATTTTAAGTTTCACAAACCAAGAATATTCTGTGCATCACGAGCCAGGATGCATCTTGATTTAGGTTAAAACTTTACCATATTTGGAAGTTCAACTTCCGTCAACTTCCATCAGGTCTGCGGGCTACAGCTGGCTATACTTGGACCAGCTTGGCAACATAGACAGGAGCAAGAGTTTCAGAGTGGCGAGTTATTAATCTGTAACAAATGTATCTTTCACCCATAAAGTTTTAACTGAGCTCTGTCTCTACATCACAGTAACAACTTTGTCCATTGACTTCCTGGAGTGTAGCTAGTGTTTGGAAGGGAGAGGAGGCGTATGCTGCAGCTCAGTGCTTTTCCACCGGTGTTTGAGGGCGTGTCGGACTAGCCATTTGGCAAGCATTAAATGACGCCTTCATCCCTGTGACGCCACAGGGATGACAGGGAAACGGCTGAACTTCAGGCAGTTCAGAGCAGTGTTTTCTGTGGAGATAGGAACTCTCTTTGGACTGGACGAAACCAATTATACAAAAAAAGATATAACTCAATAAAAGGAGAGGGAAAAATGCAAAAAGCATAATACCACCTCTTTAATATCTTCATTCATTCATGATTCAAATGAATTAACTGAAACATTTATTGAACATTTGTTATATTGTTATTGAGGAAAATTATATTGCTACAATCATTATAGATTTATTGCCCAGCCCTACTACAGGGGACGGGAAAAAAAATAAAAATAAATAGTAGTAGTTGAACAGTGTTGGCAGATGAACATTATGGTCACTTTGACAGGCTTGACATCTGAATCCGGACCACGTCTTTATCACAGACACAATCAATGTTGTAGAGCAAGGCTAGATCTGTGTATGCTGAAGCAGGCTCATTAGATCTTGGGACATTATTGATTATCCATTCAGCTACAAGCACAGAGTGTCCCCGCTGACCTATCCAATTCTACATAATTCAGTGCCTTTCAAAATAAGCCTCATTATAGCAGCCAACCTCCCTCAACCTTGAATCCAGACATACTACAGAAAGACAATAGAGCTCGTCTTCCAAGAGTTTTCAGCAGGTCCCTGCATGCCGCCTGTAGATGAAAGGATGATCGTAAATAGACAGCAAAGATGGGAAAATAGAGTACAGTGTGTGTGAGTGAGTGAGAGATGCAGGCAGCAGTAGATAAAGGTGACCTGAAAACATGTGGGTACAAATGTTTTGCAAACACTGTGCTGTGGGTAATGTAACACAGGTTCTAAGCAATTCCAGACCAGACAGCTCATCAGCAATGTTCTACAGAGCGAACAGAGTGAAACCACATTTGACTGGTATGCAGGGAATGTGTACTGAGCTGAGGCCGGTATGTGCGTTTGTGTCGGTGTGTAAAAAGACTAAAGGGCTTAGTATGGAAGTCTGTAAAGTTAATGCATTAACCCTAAATAGACACACAAGACATTTTGACATGTGATAGCAAGAAAAGCACAGGTGTAATAACATTAATTATGTCTGCGTTCCATTTGGGTGAGCCAGTTCCAGGGTGCTGCCATTGTGCACGCTAAGTCCTGCTGAGACAAGTCGCAATATATGCTGTATCTCTGCTTTTTCAGAGCACAGAACATTTCAGTTTCCAATTTTACGAAAAGCTTCTAAAGTCAGTATATGAAGGTGATGGATGTTTATGTGTAATAAAATCAGAGTTCCCACATTTTGTAAATTAAATCATCCTAGGCCATTTTCCACATTGAGAGTTCCCACTCACATCTGTCCTCTACGTTTCTGACACCTCTGTAGACTAGCATGACAGGAGACTCTGGTAAAGCTTTTATACCATGAAAAAATCATCCACTGTCCACAAATAGGGTACGAGTCGCACTTCCTGAGACCCCGCTGGTCATTTGGGAACAAAAATCCTTGAGCCGGAAAATACAGAGGGAAGGAGAGAGACTGTGTGTGCGAGCTGGTGTGTATGTCCTGAATGTGTGCATGCAGCATGTGTCGGTTAAGTGCTAGCTTGCAGATTTTGTAACGCGTTTCACGCTTCACCAGGCACTTCCTGTGGCGCAGAACGCTGCCTCTTACTGATCCGTCTTCCCAGCACGGCAGGGGGTTAGACAAACACTGGGATCTGAGCATAGCTTCAACTTTCTCCAGCATGGCAGTCAAACTATCTGCTTCAGGCAGAACTACTTGTATCTGCTGCTCTAACCTTCATGGTGTTTGGTTAAGGAATGAACACAAATATCTGAGGTTATGATGTTTTTTACCCCCCCACTGATATATTTATACATTTTCAGACTAATTCTGGCAAGAGGAACTGTTTTGTTTTGAAATCAGACACTACGTGGCCCATGTCACCATTTTCAGAGATTTGTTTGATTATACCACACACTAGCCCTTACCCTACTGAAGTCCTAACAATTCCTCCTCAGACGCTTGGTGATCTAAAGATACTGACTACTACTGAACAGAGTTAGCATGCCCTACTTGCACTTTTCATTCATAGTTAATATACGCCTTCACCCAGCAGACATACTGAAGCAGAGCCTCCGCAGCAAATAATGAAATCATTCACCAAAAATGTAAACCAGACTTCTCAATCATGGGCGTTATTTGATGTGAATTATGATTCCAAACGGTACCACTCGCTAACAAGAATAAATATGATGCTAACACATACAATGGTGATCTCAGAACACCACTAGATACAGATGAGGAGGGAGCTCTTACTTCTCCAGCAGCACAGGAGGTCTGCTCATGAGGGTGATCCTTCTCCAGTACCAGATCATGATGATGAGGATGCTGGGTGTGAGGAATGTCTTCATGGCAAACCACACTTTGGTGAAGCCTCCGTTCTGATGGATGCTCTTGAAGGACAAAGAAAACACATTCAGTGTCAACTGTTTGTACTGTGCATGTTATTTTTATAGTTTATTTTAAACCAACATAGTGTTATCAATGACTAAATTTTACACCGTCACAGCTGAAAAAGGATCCTCGACTGTGTGGGTTAACATTAAGTGATGTACAAAAAAAAAAAAAGAAAAATAAAAGCTGCAAATGTTCAGGTCCCAATCAAATGGCAACTTACAACAAGACGAATGTCTTTGATTTCTCCGATCCCCACATTGATCTTCTTACGCTCGTTGACAGGCAGGCGGATGTTGAGAAGATAGTACTTATGGGCCACGCTGCCAACCTCCATGAAGGGAAGCAGGTCACACTCGTAGTAACGTCCCTCGTTCTCGTAGGTCTGGAAACACACGGCAGCACACCATATCAGGTTCAAAACACATTTGTCTGAAGATAACGGACTTGACGTGTCTGAGTTGAGACACAGACCACAATCAGCTAGAATAGGTATTAGTGACAAGTGGTAATTTGGTTTTTTGGAAATTCATAGTGTGTCAGCAAATATCAGACTAGCAACATCAACAGACCAACAACCAGACAACTGCTCTACCAACACAAACGTCACCCGAGTGCTATACAAGTTATACTGAGGTGTAGCTCCCAGACAACCAGTTAACTCGTGACTGACGTTGCATCTCAAACTCACGACCCAACCAGGCGAGAACAACAAATGCGCATGTTGACATTTTCAGCTGGGGATTGCGGCTTACTTTGGCTAGCCTTCAACTCAACAATCAATCATGATTGCAGTTAAATGCTAAAGATTCCGTTACCTTGTCTGTGGTCCGATGGCGTAACACCGGGGGCTTTCTGATCAGGTGCAGTCGTGCTGTTGCCGAGGCGACATAAGTTTTGTTTTTTTTACGGTGGACTGACTATAATATTACAGTGTTATTTTCTTTTAGCTTGAAATAATCCCATACTTTGGACACTGTCTTCTTCGTCCATCGCCATTTTCTCTCAATTCCTCCACTTTGCAAACAGCACATCGTGTTCACACAGCGTAAGCATGATGTGCAACAGTATTATGTCCGTGCGAAACAGTATACTACATAGTTATATGGATTAAGCAAAGGCTCGATGAAGAGAATTTGCGTAAACATTGTGCTGTGATTAAATAGCAATAAACGGATCAAACTGATGCCAAATTTGTTAAACATATGCAGTCATGCTTTGCCAGGTCTGTCAGCAAGACAACAACTTCTAAAGTGTTTGTTTTCTGAATGGAGTTTGGATCGATCAGGGCTATTCTATGCCAACTTGGTCACGGTAAAGTACAACGATAGCTGTTTTCTGAACTCACCAGGTAGTTCAACCTCCTCTCTTTTTCTCCCAGCAATGTCCAGTTTTTATATAAATATGAAGTCGTAGTCCAACAGAGCTAACAACACTAACAACAACACTGGAACCGGATGTCCACAGAAGCTAGCTGCTCAGAAGCTCCAGTGAAGATAAAACGTTGAAATCCCAAAAACTTAAGTAAAAAGCTAATTTAATAAAAGCAGTTTACTCCGAGCTCTTCTCGCGAGTAAACGGTGTAGTTATTAGAACAGAATCCAGTCCAACTACGGGTGTTTATTTGTCCAAAGATTGTAGCGCTGCTCCCTTCTCCTCCCCTCCAAGTTTAGCAGCTCTCAGCCGGCCTGCAGATTTTCAACTGCTTTTCACTGATAGGCTATCGCGACTCAGCGTCATGCGACTTTCTCGCTTGAGTTGAAAATATTCAACTAAAGCGAATTTCTTCACATTGGCTTTGCGTCACCGGCCCCGCCCCCTTCGCGTCGCACGACAAGAAGTCGCGGCTCTACGCGTCTTTGCATTGACTTTATATGTAAACTCACCACCCCAAACGCTCGCTTCTGGTTTGAAAGCACCATAAGAAATATTTCTACCTCCAGGTATTTGAGGCTAAAAATAGTTTTTAAATTTAACTGTAATTATAGGATTTATTATCAGCAACAGCATCTGTGGAAGCTGATAATCAAGATGAACAGGACACTCGTGAGGAACTGACAAATACCAGGTAATAATATTGTTGCAGTATACTAAAGAACCATAATGGTGATGGTCATTTACACACCTTGGTAGTTGTAAAGTTGCAGGAAAGCTTCCTCTGTTCGAAAGAGTGAGCCATCTCAGTCCACTCGCTGACTGTGTCGTCTCGGTAGGCCAGGCCCACATCAATGGTGGCCAATGCTCCATCCTCTGGAAACAATTACCACTTTCAAGTCAGTTCAAACATTTTGTCGACATTTATTTTGTTAGACTTTGATTATGCAAGTATGTCAATAAAATCAGAAGTACAATTTGTCACATTAACTGTGTGTGTCTTCCAAAATGGAAAAATGCACCGAAGACATGTGTTCGTCTCTATGCCAGTGCCTGTTCTACCGCCTCACTGCACAACTCTGCTGGCTGTTATTATCCCAGTGACGGGAAAAATGAAGTCCTGATGACCGACAGCCATTGTCTTTTACTGAGAACAGCAAAGTTATAGCACTGCTAGCACTGACACAGAGACATTGCCCATTACAATCCGAGAACATACTGTTCATTTAGTAATGTAAAAATTTTACTTAAAATCATTGAGAATCTGAGCTTCATGGCTGCAGTTTTAACTGGTGTCTGTCATGGGGATCATTCTGTTCATTTAAGAACGCTGTATTGTCAGCTAGACTGGTTTTGACTGTTACAAACTAAAACATGTTTATACAAGGCCAAATCATTTCAATGTTAATGTGGGGTCCTGTCACCTGGAATGAGTCCAAAACAACGAGATTAATAGGATTATTTCTCAGCATGTAAACATATTAGGTGATTCAGTCTGCTCTCCATGGTAGCACAAATCTAGGTTACTTCCTACTTGACATAAACTCCAACAAGACCTTGTGCTGGCCTCCAACAGCCCAGCCCAGGGAATCCAATGAAAACATCCAAAGCCAAGCTATTAAAACTGCATCTTTAGATCACATTACAAAGCCAAGTGTTCTCTCCTCCAGCCCTCCAGAGTACCTCTTGTGCCGTTATGAAACAAGCTGGAATGAAGAGAAAGAAACCCAGTGGCCTGTGCTGTGAGAAAGGAAAAAAAGGGAGTGGAGGGGGACAGGGAAGCAGATGAGAACTGGCAGTCGACTGTCTCCGTAATGCCCTCCACTCTGCCATTGGTCGAGCCAGACGCCCTCGAATGTCAGCTCACTTCATGCAAACATTCCTCTCCAGTCCAGCGGCCATCGCCAGGGAAACTAAGCCTCCTCAACAGCTGTGTTATTGCTGGACTCTGGCCAAGAGGTGCTTGGTGCCGGGGTGGAGTGGGCCAGGTGGGTGGAGTGGTTAATAAGGACAAAGCTCTTCTCTGAGAGGCACACTGTCACACAGATAAGGTAGCGGAGGAAGAGATGGCCTTGTGTTCATCGGTCATACAGCTGCAGAACAGAGTCCACCTACATACTGCACAGAGTGCTCTGTTCAGGATTTAGACAGACGGGCTGACGCCATTTTGTTAATTATGGAAGACCTGACTCAATTATTTTTGGAGTTTTGAGTTTATTAGCATTTTACTAAACCTGAATCCAGTATCTACTCAGTTCACGGATTCTGAATCCTGTCAAATCTGTTTAGTTAACAAATTTACTTTAATGTATTTTTAAGAACTAAAAACGCAAAGACCACAAGTTTAACCTAAGAGAATAAAGCTTTACTATTTGGCAAAATGACTATGTGAATGTTTTGGTCAATGCTTTTTATCATTATCATCATTATTATTATTATTAAATAGTAGAGAAAATCTGCACATTTTACAAAAATAAAGCCACCTTTTAGAATCCAACAATAAACAGATATACAACAGTTATTTCTTTAATCTACCAGCTTGCTACATATGGATGCTAGGATAGCTTTAAGTTCCTTCATTCTGCTGGATCTCATCTCATTATACCTCCCTTGCATCAAGCAATGTGTCTTTTACTTGCATTCTTACTATACAAGAGAGTAAAGGCTTGGGTATGCTTGAACTGACCTAGCCTGTACATTTTAGCAATAAAGGTGTGCTCCTTTCTAGTACATCTTACAACACAGAAAAATGAAACATGAATCGGTTCTATATGAGAAAATCATTAAAGTGGGGACACTAGCTGGTTTCTTCTACATGCAACATATACAGTACTCCGCTCCCTCTACATCTACTTGTTCTCACAGCACCTCATGTAGCTCAAAGACCAAAATGAGTCTGTAGCATCTGGTAGAAAGACCCGTCTGTGGTCCAGGCGGATTCACAGACTCCTCTGTTTGGCAGGCAGGCAGTAAACAACCCCCTAACACACTTCCGCTGAAGCCAAATCTGTGAGCAAGCAAATGATGCTGATGACTAGGCCACCATTGCAACATGACTTTTTAGACAAGCCAGACCAGAAGCTTTCTACATTAGTATATTACCTCTGTTAATTACAAATTGGCATACGATGGATCTGTAGCAAGGTGCAGAGGCATTTGTCAGTCCAGACACGACTTTATAACACTTGAGTAAGCTCAAGTTGGCATTAACATGCATAGCTATACATTCTAAACCCTGAAGCAAAATATGTCATTGAGAGTAGCAACTTCTTTCCCAGGCTCTCCTGGTGATTCAGTCACTCTCTAGACTCTTATCCTCTCTAATCCCCGTCTTTCAGGATCCCTGCCTGTCTTCGTCAGGATACCAGTTTTCTCCCCCCATTCCCTCTCATGCAAGCACTGAGATGCCGTAGGTCTGTCTAGCCACTGCTCGATTAGAGACAGTGTTGTTTGACACTGGGTGGAGATGGAAAATGTGTGCAGTAATCTGCTGGTGGGTTCCTGTCATGACAATAGAAACTAGGCATCCAACAGAGCCTAGGGCCTCAAATCAGACTAAAATGATTAAACTAGACACTCTGGCTCAAGAGGTTGAAGAAAATCTGTATCATAGATTTAAAGCTTGATTTTCTTATTTTTCCTCAAAGCCTTAAAGTCACTTCACTTTAAGACTGTTAAGATTGAAGGAAGGTCAGGACTTTTATACGAAGGGGGAGCAATTACTGCACCACTTTGTAAGAGGTGAAAAAACACAAATGTAGAAAAATTGAAATCCACTAAAATGGGATGACATCATTTCCCAGGTATGTAAATCATTTGGATGTGGGTTTCAGGATCAGATAAGACATTTCATTGCTCTGAGGCAGCCAACAAGAAACCTGTCCAAGTTACCTCTCTCCTCGCTCTTTAGACCTGCCTCAAGGGTGTCTGACACAGTCGTCTACAAAATCCCCAAGTGTCTAGGCCACTATAGAGTACAAACAGCAGGGCATCCATCATTGTTTGCTGCCTTTCAGTGTAAAGACATTCCTGTGGGTTCCTCATGCGTTCACCATGATAAAACACAAGACAACAGTCTACAGGGAAGGTAATATAAGAAACATTACTTTATAGCTGCATGAATTGGAATGGCTATACACTTGAATTTATGCTGCGAGAGATTAGAAGTGACAATAAATGTGACTATTGACAGGGTCTAGCTTGAACACACTGAGCCTCTGCAAATATTTGTCTTCAGATTGTGAAATGACAGAGAGACAATGTTATCCAAATGTTATCGATTGAACGGAATTTTGTGGGAATATTGATGCTCAAACAAAATGTATCCACCATTTTACAGCCACTTGTTTGGCCACTAGTCAAATTGGCTTCAAAGTATGGAGCACTTTCCCAAAGGGCTCAAAACTAACTTTTCACCATCCCTGCCAGATATCGGCCCACTAGTGCACATTAAGTTTAACTTTCCTCCCTCTCCTAAAGCTTGAAAAAAACATGTCCTGGAGGAGCATGTCCTCACCCTTTTGGTTAACCCATAAAAAGCCTTAGTTCTCACCGATCTGGTTGTACATCTTAAATGCGATGTCAAACTGCAGGATGACCAGCATAAACTGGAACCAGGGGCTCATCTCCTTGTTAGGCAGAGGAATGTGGACAGCAAACACAATGTTGTTGGCCTCAATCTTCTTAGCCATGGCCTCATCAAAGGTCCGGAGCTTTTCGCATTGGTTAGGACCCCAAGGCATGAACCATTTTGTTTCCTGGCGGTGCTTGATTGTGTCCACACACTTAGTGGCCAAGTAGTGGACTGCCGTGGTGGGGCTAGGAGCTGGTGAGAAACACAAAAGTGGAGAGAGAGATGTTAGACGAGGTGTCATATTAAAATATGCAAGTAAAGTGTTTCACGGCCTTGCCACGCTAAATTTACAGTCAAACTAATAAATCACACAAAAAGTTTGATTAAATATCAACAAATAAAAAAACTTTTTTAAACTCTGGATTTAACTGTGCATGGCCAATATGAATATCTTAGCAACCATTAGGAACAGTCAACAGGTTGAGCTTCAGCCAAATCTAGTCCAAACACTTCAGCAATTACTTTTAACACTGTTTAGAAAACGCCTGGTAGCAAGGCTCTCTCTCTCTCTCTGAAGTGATGGGGAGGGAAAATTCCCGAAAGCTCTCACGCACCAATTACACTGTTTACGCATTGAGATTCATGAGCCTGACAAGACTGGTGTTTGTAGTCTCTGCTCACAGGATTTTAGTAGTGCTTGGGAAAAGATCATTATCATGCGCACTCAAAAAAACTTTGCTCTCCTGTTGTGAAAACTGGAGGTCTGACGTGAACGACATCCGAGAGGTCTGAAAGTCTAGGTGTAGCCTCAAGGCAAAAAGCTAAACTTACAGGGAGGGAGAACTGGTCACCTCACCAAACTGAGCAAGCAGGCACAAGAAATCGGTCTATGAGGATTCTGAAACCTGACTGAATATCAGAGCCAGGATGGGAGATCTTGCTGCAGAAGTTTTTGTAGCATTTTAAAGTCATAATTTTACACTAAAGGGGCAACGATTAATCGATAAGTTAACTAAATTAATGGCTTAACTATTTTGATAATTGGTTTGAGTACTTTAGACTAGTAAGTCTAAATTCTAACTCCAGCTTGTTAAATGTGAATATTTTTTGGTTTCTTTACTCCTCCATGACAGTAAACTGAATATCTGTAGGATGTGGACAAAAGACATTTGAGAGCATCATCTTGGGCTTTGGGAAACATTGATTGGCATTTTCTGACATTTTTTTAGACCCAACAACTATTCAATTAATGGAGAAAATAATCAGATTAATTGACAACGAAATTAATAATCAGGTTCAGCCCTGCTGTACAACAAAACAGTCAGGTACCTGGGAGTTACGTAAAGACTGAACTAGGAGAAAAGATAATTCGGTCTGAGGAAAGGACAACTTAAAGAAACATTATGTATTTTTATCCTAAAATAAAAGCTTTAAAATCATTGTTTTGGCACCGACTTGTAATAGGGTGAATGACGTCACTATCATTGCCTGTACGGGACTGGGCAGCTTTCTATGGCACAATCCTGGGAAGGACTTCTATTGCGAGAACAGCGTAATGCTTTATGGCACCACAACACTTCAACAAAACTCTTCATCAAGCAAGCTATAAGAAGAAGCAAAAAGTACTTAATGTACAAAGTTATTTATTTAAAGAAGCTAGATCAGTATTGAAATAAAAGGCTATACAACAGATGCCAAGCTGCATACTTTCCATGTCAACAGTTGAACTAGCAAGTAATATTGCGATGTCTTGTGGCTGTGTTAACAAAGTTGGCGACTTGCTAGTTTTATATCATAATGTAATCATAAATGCACGTGTACAGCGGTCCTTATTTAAGACAGCAACAAATTACAAGGTCTATCACAGAGTGCCAAAGTAGAGTGCAAAACAACCCTGAAATCCCTTCACAAGAACTACATGAAAGCCCTTGTGCAGCCCGACCGGCCCTGAATGACTTGAAAATAAATGTGCAGATGCTTTCAGTTTGTTTGAGCAAATCTCCAAGACCAAACGGGAGAAATGCTCCAATCCTGAGTGTGCCAAGCTGTTCGTGACCCATCTAGAAGGACTTTGTAAGATGTAATTACTGTTTAGGGTGCTTGTGGGAAGTACTGACTCATGGGGGCGAACATGAAAGCCCAGATGTTTCAGATTCAGCTCATCAAAAAGATTAGTGACATTACCTAAGAAGACTCAAAGCTGATGTCAGTCAAAAAAAGTGCTTCTAGCAAACACAAACTCCTGAGTACTTTAGATAGGATATTCCGGCATTTCCAAAAAGGTGTACAATCCATAAGAAAACTGTGAAAGTAAGCAAATACTCCAAATCAGAATAGTTTGTGCCTTGAACATCTAAACATAACTTTCCACTCCTAACAGAGAGCAGAAGGGCGGGCAACACAAACAACCCTTTTGGGTAGCAGACACTCCACACAGTCATAAAACTAAGGCTATCTTCAAGGAACATTCGACTTTGTAAGTGTGTCAACAGCCGTGTAAAAGCACACATACAGACACACCAAACTGAATTAAACCAAGTTATCTGGAACACCTTGGAGTTTAATTATCTAGTGACCCCGTGAGTCCAGCAACACCAGCTCCTCCAGTCTCCATCGCAGTGTGTCTGAAATAATGGCCGTCCCCTCAGTCCGTCGACCTCATGCCGTGTTCTCGGGTTTGTCGGGAAACAAGAGGAGAAAACCCCCGCTCTACTCAATTACCCCTACCGCCCTCGGCCACAGAGCAAACACAAAGGAATCTGGCTTCATTAAAACCATCTCAGCCAGGAATGGACCAAACAAGCTAATTTATCAACCAGCCATGTGGTGAGTGAGTGGTATGCAATGACAGGCTGACTGGTGTTTGGGGGGAGGGGGGGTGTCATGGTTTCCAGATTAAGCCCAAGAGAAAGAGGCATCTTTCACATGGACTCAATTTCTATCAAGTGTGTGTATAGCTGTTGTGCATGTGTGGGTGGGAGGATTTGAAGAAACTTGACAGCAACTCCGATACAGTCCTCAAGGCGAAGTACAACTTTGACAGCTGTGTGCACTTGTGTGTTTTTTTGTGCACCGCTGTGTGTCTCTGTGCAAAAGAAATCAGGGGAAGAGGCAAGCAGAGGAAACATGAATGCTCTGCCTGCCAGGCGATAGGGATTTGGGGAGGCTTCACACAAGCGGGGGGGGGGGGGGGGGGGGAGTGAAAAGAAGGTAGAGATGCTGCCTGGGGCCCCACACAAGCAGACAGACATTATATATGAGAGGTGGGGGTGAGGAGGAGGACGAAGAGGAGGGGGAGATTTGAGAGAAGGGGGGAGAGAACATTCGAGTTTGGATCAAAGAAATGAAAAAACACAAACGTTGGATGTATTTACGCGTATTCCTGTGTCAAAAATCTGAAATGAAACCCACAAAGTATGGCATTCTGTGTTATTTTGTAGCAGAGGGAATGAAGCAGGCGATTGCGACATGCAGGCAGCAAACACCTTGATACAAAGCAGTGATTTAGCGGAGGTGCACTTTGGCAGCTCTGGTGTCAAAGTGGCTGATTCAAAGCACCACATTGTTTGTGCACCACTCGGGCAAGCCCAGGTGGGTAAAACACGGCTAAAAGTTAGCGCTCACTGTCTTTTCTTCCTTGTTAAAACATTCATTAACGCTGTTATGTAGGCAAGTAACGAACAGTGCAACTAAAAACTTTGCACGCACAAAGACGTTAGCTAAACAAATGATAAAAAGTCTGGGATAAAAGGTGGGGACAAAACTTACCAATTAAACCGCCGACCATGAAGGCAAACGCCTGGAACAAAAGCAGAGTAACTCCCACTATCACCAACTTTTTGGTGCTCATATTCTCAATAATAGCCCCCGCCATTGCGACGGAAAGGATGGAGTAAAAAATATCACACCGAGCGAGAGACAAATATCTAAATAATGTGGTGCAAAAAGGGACGAAAACGTTGCATCAACGGCCAGTAGGAAGAAAAGCTGGGTCCCCTCCGCCGCTCTGCTCCTGCCTTTCAACTTCGGAGGAGGAAAAAAAAAAAAACAGGAATCACATGACCGAACAGCACTCGGCTTTATCCGCGACCAGCCAGCACTAGACCGGGGAGAGATGTGTGGAGCGCCACCGCATTGCAATAGAGGCTGGTAATGCAGGTTACCGTGTCATTGAATGCTTGTAATAACGCCCCTGTGGTGCGGGGACAGCCTGCAGAGCTATTTAAAGGAAGGTTTTGGAGGTCCTGTCTCATGTTTAGTGCTCACTACCGTCAACACATTGTCCTTCAAAATCTATTCTTGATTCACATCATGAATAGGCCTACATTTGATGTTTTAGCTATCTGCGAGATAAGATCAAAGGTTTTACCAATATTCTTCAGTTTTGGTTTGAGGTAATAAACGAGGAGATGTGTTCTTGTTTTTTTCCTTGCACATGTGAGAAGATGTACCAGATGGTGAAGTTGTGAGAAAGAACTCTGTTGACCTTTCTTGGATTTTGAATACAGTCTCACCATCACCTCAGGCTCCACTGAGTAACTGTCTCAAATCACATGGTCTTCATCAGCAAATGGAGATTGCCCAGTTGTCATGGAATTGTAGATTTAGCAGATTCAGCAATCATTCTGGACCTTGGAAACTGCAAGCAAAGTCCATTTAGTAGTTGCTTTGAAGCTTTCAATCATATGACATGATTTTCTTCTGTCAATCGACAGAAGTTTGTATTTCTCATAATAGTTTTAATAGTCTTTTACTAATATAGGTACCATGTGTTTCCCTAAAAATCCTTAAAACGCTGAAACTGGAAAAAGCTGGAGGTGTCTCACCCCAATGGATTTTTCCCTGGTCTGCATGTGGTAAATCCGTCTCCTTGAGTGATTTTTAGTGTTTTTCATTACACAGAGCATTTGGTTTCCTATGGACTCAAACTGCATTGATGTATTCATGTTTCACAGTCTGTTACTCTGAACATTCGGTCAAGCACACATCCTTTAAAATGACTCATTTTATTCCCTCACAGGATGGGTTGGGCTAATAGGGCTTCCACAGTTTGTACTTATGCATATACTGTATTTAGACTGCAAATAACACCATGCTTTTCATTTATCTATATTATTGCAGGAAATACAATTTTCCAGGCTGTAATGCTTGCTGCTGTTTCATCCTAAAGAGCAGCAGCTGTGAACTGAGCTTTCATGTCTTCTGCCCACGTAGACAGATGCTCTGAGCTGTGACAAGATCCCATTCCTTTTCCCGAAAGAGGAGAGAGAAACTCAGTAAGAGCTGGCTGATAAACCTACTCATAGTTGCCGTAGGTTTGATTCAAATTTAAATGCTGGTGGTGCAGGATGTGTATTAGTGCATATTTACTCTTTTACACACTGAAAATCTTTAAATACAAAACACAGGTTTAAAATAGTTTTATTTAAAACCCATCCATGTGCGTATTTAAGGGTCAAATAAGAAAGAGTTGACATCACTGACACCTGTATATACCACAGGCCTTATAAAATTCACAAGAACAGAATATGATTTAAAAACAAGTATGCAGCATGCAACTTCTAGTACAGCATTCCCGTAAGGACAATCAAACACAACACATGTAGACAAAGTGTAGCAATGATGTAAACTGTTTATTTCTTACATACTACTTTATTATGAAAAAAAGACAGTGAAGACAGGAAGAAAGGAAAGCATGACGGTGTCTTCTCAACACAAGTGTACTGCTGTGAACGAGATCAGAGAGAAACAGCAGATATCTCCATATGTCTAAAATGGCTATTTTATTTCCTATTTCCGATTCAGATTATGGGTTTGGATAAATATACAAAGATGACAACCTGTTGGATGCAGCATAACAATAAACAGCATCCATCTATTAAAGATAATGTTGCTACAGGAAGTCATTACACTACTGATGTGATGCATTCCTGTTTATGAAGTCCCATGCACTGCACCACGACCAAGGCACAGAGGCAGCCATTCAACCTGATAACAGTGAAAACATTGGTTTTGGCACTTAGGGATTGGAGTTAAGATAAACAAAATGGAAATAGGAAGCGCTAGATAGGTAAAAATCAGTAGAAAGAGCCTGGGGCTTTGTGTTCAGAATTTGGCACGGATTCTGTCCAATGGATCCGTCTCCCACATCGCGGGATCCCAAGCCTGGAACCAGCCAGTGAAAGTTGGAGGTTCTGCCCCCTGTTTGATGGTGGTGATGGCCAGTCCTTTGCGACCAGAAGGGTCTGAGTCCACATAGTCTTTTGCTGCATGACAAGAAGTAGAAGAAGGGACAGAAAGACAGAGACAGGAGTGAGAATATGTAAAACTCTAACAGCATAATTTTGCTGACAACAGACTTTGAATATTTTTTCACTAGTGTAGAGGGCCTGCTGCCAACTAAAAAGAGGGTGATGAAGCCAGTGAGTGTGAATCATTAAACAGTAAAGCAGGCCTTAAAACCAAAACAATGAGCCCAAAGAGGCTAAAATACTCCGGTGATTATTTTCTGTGGGTTTTGTCACTGAGCGACACCATTCACATTACACTAATTATTTTTTCCATTCATGATATAAAAATATTGATTAGTTCCACTTTAAATGTTGCAGCTGAATATGTAGCTACTGAGAAGTAAACAAATTAATACTAATACTATTACTTTAATTCAACCTAACATCTATGACACTATAGTACGTTCTGGCAGCAAGCATCTGAATTACGATGATCTGAGTGGTTTTCCGTGCAACAAACCTATTTTGGGAGCTCCCGTCTTTTCCTCAGCATTAGCCTCATTGCCAACCCAAAGGAAGATCTACAGGGAAGAGAAACACACTCAGTGACTCAAATAGTCTCCAGTCATGCAGAGTTTAAAGAGTAATTATGCATCTATGGAGTCTCTGAATTTAACACATTAAAACCATGTTTTTCTCACCTGATCCCAGGTATCCAGGAGCATGACATCATCAGTGGCCAGGTCTGACTGAGTGAAGTCCCCTGGGACTTCTTCAACCTGATAGACAGAAGATGAAAACTCAGACCGACTGTGTGTAAATTTGTGAGTGAAAGTTTATGTTACCGTGTATTAACACGTGTTGACAGGATAAACCTCTTCACAATGTGACTTACAATAAGTCTTCCAGTTTTGTTGGAGCAGCCAAACAGACGTGGGGGGTGGACCGTCTTCTGCAGACTCTTGGAGGTCTGGTAGTCTTTCTTGCCACCAAGAGCAGTCCAGAAATCAGCTGGGAGGGAAGAAAATACAACAGCCATCAGCTTCAAGTAGTTTGTCCCATACTTGGTGCTTTGTTTGTCTAAACAGGAAGTGAATCATATCCTCGTCTTTTCAAGTTTAATCAAATGCAGTTATGTCTCATCAGGCCAATCAGTCATTGGGCCAATCACTATTTCTGTATGGCAAGATACAGCATGTAGGAATTTTAGAGTCTAGTACCTTCATTAGAACAATCAGTGCAAAACAGACATGAGGTGCTTTTAATCCTTATGTAAAATTAGATCAATGACTTAGATAAAGTACAACCTCTTGGCTTTAAATTACTCCACAGCCATTGGAGAGTAAATCATTGGCAAAAGCACACCAGTATTGTCTACAATAGTCCCTAAAATATCACCTTTTGCACATAAATTAAGGAATATTTAATATAAGTGGTCCCCCAGTTTCTTTACATGGGGATAAGTATTAGTAACAACACTGCTACACTAATAATTTGTCCTTTCTCTTGTTATATTACATACAGTATATTGGTCCTCAGAGGACACCCACCTGGCTCCTTTCCCTCTGACACCTGGCTGGGATTGCCACCCAGGAAGCCAACCACATGCTTGGCAGCCTCCACCTCCACATCACTGGCACCAAGTCCCCGCCACACAAACAGGGCACTCGGGGATTTCAGCACAAACACATCATTGGTGTTCAGACTGGAAGCAGAGGCATTGACCTGTGGAAACCGATTTAGACAAGTTAGAGGTGGAAATCTCTGCACGGTGTCCTATATGGATGTGACAACACAAATCCGTGTAATAGCAGTCAGTTCACCTCCACTGCCCGGGTGGCCTTGGAAGAGCTCTGCCGGATGTGGAAGAGACGAGTGCTGCTGGCCTGCGACTGTCCACCTTTGCGTGACGTTCCTCCGCTGTGGATGATCATGGGTTTGCCCTGGAACAGGCTCATCAGGTGTGGAGGCTCCTGGCCCTGAGTGACTCTCACCTTTGGTTGAAGTCAAATAAAAGCAGCATGGATCACAAATGCTACCTGTGATTTAAAGTGCATGTAATTTGTGTAAAATGGGCTACAACATACAAGACCACCTGAATGGTATTTAAGGAATACATTTATAAAATAACACCTAATAATTATTGGTGAGGGTTTATAATATTCAATTGATTCCTACATCACATAAATAAATTTAAAAAATGAAACTCTTTCTTAACTATCTGCTCCAGTTGTGAGTTGATGTTTCACATTTTAACCCTGTTATGGCCATAAAAAAATTGTGAATCCTGAAATTGTGATGTGGCATCTGTGGAAGTGTAGTAGATTGATTGGAGTGGCATCAAAATGAACATTACAGTGACACTGCCCTCTGCTGGTCATCTGAGGTTGGTTGTTTTTCATGGGGGAAGAGTGAAGTTACTGCTTAGATATTTGGCATTGGTCAGCTGTACTTAATCCTCTGTCATAATTAGGTGAAAAAGTTTAGAGAGTCCCAACCCTCATTAGCACAAGGTAGCCAGGCATTATGCTCTCCTGTCTCTGTGAGCTATTAAACTCATACACTATAGCACGTAAGACAATAACTTTATACAACTTGCAAAATTTCATGAGCTACTTAATAAAAAAGTAAATGTTAGGTTACTGTGAAAATTTCAAGTTAGTTCTCAATTTACACCTTATCTGCAACGTCTTACTCAACTTTCACATTTGTCTTCTCATCTTCAGAGAACTCTGCACCATTGTCTATTCATGTCTGCTTCTTGGAAAAATAACTCCTCATTTGAACTTGTTTTTATACGTTATGTAAAAGTGA